CATCTAGTCAAAATGGTCAACAGGAGTTACCGTAATGACAAGACACACTCGGTGGAACTGGGAGCTCTGGATCTGAAAGAGGCAGCACTGAAGAAGGATTGGAAGAAGCTGCATAAGCGAATCAATATCATTACCAGTCCAACGAACCGGCTTGATTCAAGACATCCGGCTGAGAAGTTGGGCAGAACACCTCTAGAACTTATGAACAGGTTCTCTCTAGCGGTTGACGTGAGGCAGACGTCATAGACAGAGAAGAATTGCAAACGGACTGATCCGCTCCATCGAAAGTCGAAGCCGGAGATGCCATACGTCTGTGCCAAAGTTGAAAATCCTGGGAGAGCGACGGAATTAGTGCGAAAATCATAAAGTGTCAATCAAAACCCTACTAAACTGAATCCCTATGACCCTTGACAGCTGGGTAAAGGAAAGCTAATCCACCGAATACGTTTCCTCAATCTACCATGAAAAATCCATGAACTAACTCTGTGCAGTCGCTACCACACGGTGGCTTGCGAACTGCTCACCCGTCGCAGCCAGTTTTTCGAGATCGACCAGAAAAATTCAGACCTAGTGCTAGACAACTTGGGTGTCGTGCAAAGCTTGATCCTTTCACGTGACTAATGCTTCTCTCACATGACACGGTTGTCCTGAGTTCCTTGAGGACACCAAAAGATAGAGACACTATAGACACACAAATCGCATATTTGCCATCTACCATTACTTAGACTCTAAGCAACTCGTCCTCCACGGAAAACGAAAGAATGGATCTCCCTGATGCGCAACAGACCATGGAAACTGCTGTCCAGTCAGTAACTGGAGTGTAGAACATCAAAAACTTGGCAGTCACTCTGTCATCTGATTTTTCCTGGCACCAGCATGTTCAGTCAGTTGTGAATCGCTGCTGTATAGCAGCGTTTCACATGAAAGGATTAAGGTAACGGCACGCTCTGAGACTGACCATTAAGTAATTTGTACATGCATGCATCCTTCCCTGGTACACCTAAGCAACGGCCTCATCTTTGCCGGACTGCAAGCATGTGACTTTAAGGCAGTTAAGTTTGTTTTTAGATTCAGTAATCTTCCCTTAAATACCTAGCGTTGGAAGTGGCTGAATACCCAGCAGTGTTGCACGGTGTCCGTATGGAGAAACCATCGTCAAGTATCCAGCCCACCCAATCCACGAATACCTCTCTAAGTACTTGTAGCGCATCACAAGCACCAAGACTAGATTTGTGAACAATGCGTCCCGAACGGATCTTTTTCAGATGACCATTGTCCCACCGACAACACGAATCCCCTGGGGCTCCAGTACAACGAGACAGGAATATATAACGAGACTCAAAGAAATGTCGTTCACTTTCGATGAAGCCGTTTCGCTGTGACACCGGCACTAACACATTCTTATACTTATCATGTCATGTTCTCGTTCATTATTACGTAGTTCAATGCTGAAAAATGATGTTGCACTGTTTTCATAGCTACAAACTGCCAATAATGACATGAAATTGTTACGATTTTTACATTTTGTATAAACAACGGATTGACCATTATGAACGTCTTTTCTGAATATCCAAAGGTGCATCAGTATATCCAGTGTAGGTAAATTTGAGGCTATAAATCGACGACCGATTTGATAATCGCATCGTTTGACTTTTGTAATGGATGTTCGCGCTAAGAGAGGTGCATAGTTAATAACCGTTCATCACTTTGCTGTAATGATGGAGTATTATGCGAAGACCTAGTGGCAAAAGCAAGCAGGGAATCAAACAAGTAACATTATCTTCTGCGGATGCCAAAGTACAACTTGCAAACAACATACAACGACGGTTTGAACTGTTTCCGGGGATGACAAGTGATATAAAAACCGAATGGAAGCTCTTTAAGAGAGCCTTACATGGTGCTACCACCGAATGCTGCGGTTTAAAACCAGTTGCGCTTCCTCCTATAGGTCAGGCATGAACTTCTGGCATAGACCAGAGGAACAGCAGGCAAGGAATACTACAGCGTCAATAAAAGAAGTTGCGAAAGTTGTTAAAAGCGTGAAAAACGGCAAGACCACTGGAATCGATTAAATTCGCTCTAATGTACTTAATGTTCTAAACAAACAAGACATGTTGCGGCTAACACGTGTCTGCGAAACTAAAATGACTACGGGTAAAACACCAGCTGACTGGAGAATGGGTATCGTAGTGCTACTGTTCAAGGAGGGAAATCATAAGAAGTTCTCCAAATATCTGGGCATTACGATAATGAATCTCCCAAGAAAAATCCATGCAAAAGTGTTAGGAAGAAGATATTGCCAAAAAACTGACTTTAGGATAAAAAAGAACAGTTTGGCTTCAGGTCAATTCCATCTCTGACCAGAT